GAGGTGGCAGACACGTGGATGAAAACTGGTAGGTTTTCGCCACTGTTTGGGGATTTATATATTTATATATATATATATATTGCTCGAATAAAATCCCCGGGGTTTTTTGCTTTGTATGCCGGGGCGGGACATTCATGTGATTGGTTGTTGGTCGCGGTGCTCGAATAAAATCCCCAAGCTTCAGACACGCCCAGCTCCAAGCTTTTTTTGAAGCTATAGTGTGGACGGGCCGTAAGAATCTAATGAAAAATTCTACCCAGTTGCATTATGGGAAGTGTAGTGTTGAAACTTGAACCCCACCATGCAGGGACTAAAAGTCAGGATAGCTTTGCCTCTAATTTTCCTACTTTTACTCATCTAATTTCATCAGCAAATCTCCCAGTTTATGAAACAGTGTTTTACAGTAATACATTATTTTAATACAATTAGACATCTTTTTAATTCTAGAGCAAAATCTCATTTATTGGCCATGTACTCTCGCTCTCTCAGAGAGGCAGGGAGAGAGCGTGGAGTCACTTGGAGAACCAGGAAATTCAAGATTCAAAGGGTTTAATGTAATATGCACATAAGCTACAGTGTAGAAATGGAAATGAAAACCTTATGACCCGAGCTCATCCAAATATGCAACATATATAATGAAATACAAAAATACAAATAAAAAATTGTGCAAAAAATCTATATACACGTCAATAGAATATGATACAAGAGCAGAATGTAAAATATTGTATAAAAAATATTGTACAGTAAGATTAAGTTAAATAAGGTTTATTACGGTGATAACTATTTAGATAAATAAGTAAATGTGCAAGATGACAAACAGATGAATGTTTATCGAGGCACTTAAAAGAGCTCAGGTGTTTAGCAGTCTTATGGCCAGAGATGGGGTCGTTACTAAAAAAATGTAATTTATTACATATCACTTTAAAAAAAGTAATACATTACACTACTTCGTTACTATCTACATAAAGTAACTCGTTACTTTACTCGCCAAGCACGTACGAACTGCGCATGCGTGAGTGGCAATAACTCCCCTTACCAGCAGGCGGCGGGAGTGTGTATTTGTAATTCAAAACAGGCAACAACCGGAAGGCAGAGAAGAAGAACAGACTACGTGATATAAAGAAACAACAAATAGCGTGTGCGTTAGCTTCACCTTAGCATGTGTTCTTTGCAGGTGTTTGTTGAGGTTTGACGTGGTGTTTACAGCAGTGGATAACAGCTTCTGGCCTGGACACAGTTTGCACCTCACCGTCACATTCCTGTCTATTCTTCGGACGAACTCAAAATAATGGGCATACCTCCACCCATGGGCGTAGGAAGCATCCTGAATGTGGGGGGGACATCTTTAACGGGGGGTTTGGGGGTCCCCCCCACGAAAATAAATAAATAGATTTCCTGTATTCTGGTGCATTTTAACAGGTGGTTTGATACTT